AGATGCATGAAACGTTTAAATTTATCTATATTAATAACAATTTTTAAAAAAGAAACAGTGTCTTGGGTCTTACTATGTTGACAAACTACTGGCCTCAAAAGATCCTCCTGCTTTGGCCTCCCAAAGTGCTGGGATTATAGGCATGATCTACCATGCCCAACCTATCAGTGGGTTTTGTCCAGGCAGTCAGCACTCAGAGAAGAAAGTTCCTGTTGGAGGTGCTGGTAGCTGGGAACTGCGTTTCTGGAGTCCGGTGAGTTCTTGGGGGGCTGTTCAGACCTTATGGAAACTATAATAAGCTTAACTGCAAAGCTTTTTACCTTCCTGAACACATTCATATTCACACACCCATTTGATCTTCAGGTGATGCTGTGAGGTGGCCAGGAATTAACCCCATTTAGCAAGTGGGGAAACTGAAGCCCAGAGAGGTGAAGTACTTGGGTTTTGGGGTTTAGCTGCTGAGAAACCTATGGACTCCTGCCCCACCCACCCATCCACTATCATTTCCTGTTTAGTTTATTTTATTTATTTTTTCCTGGACTGCTCAGCAGGAAATTTTATTTTATTTTTATTTTTTAATTTTTTTTAAAGATGGGGTTTCACCATATTGCTCAGGCTGGTCTTGAACTCCCGACCTGAGGTGATCCGCCCGCCTTGGCCTCCAAAGTGCTTGGATTACAGGCGTTAGCCACCAGTCCCGGCCATTTTATTTTGTTTTAATTTTTGAGACAGAGTCTGGCTCTGTTGCCAAGGCTGGAGTACAGTGAGTGGCACGATCTCGGCTCACTGAAACCTCCACCTCCGAGGTTCAAGCGATTCTCCTGCCTCAGCCTCTTGAGTAGCTAGGATTACAGGTGCATGCCACTACACCCAGCTAATTTTTGTATTTTTAGTAGAGATGGGGTTTCACCATATTGGTCAGGCTGGTCTCGAACTCCTGACCTCATGATCCCCACACCTCAGCCTTCCAAAGTGCTGGGATTACAGGTGTGAGCCACTTCGCCCAGCATTTCCTGGTTCTTAAATCTTCCCTGTGGTGCCTGGGGCAAGACACTAACTGCTCAGTATCTCAGAGCACCAGCTTCCCTTTCTCCTCAGATGCCTTCCCAGGCTTCAGCTCTATGCTTCCCCTAGAACCATCAAGTCTGCTCCTACATTCTCGTTCACTCACCCACTCAACAAACACTAGCTGAGGACCAAAAAACTGTGTGCCAGGTGCATAGGATATGGAATGAACAAAGCACTGCCCACACCCTCAGGTTCACAGACCAGTGGGGAGAAGACACATTATCAGCTGTTTCCAAAACAGTGTGGTGTACACAGAAATGGAGCACAAAAGGGGATCTGGGAATCTCCAAAGAAGGTCACCAAACAGTTTGGGGTATCCCAGTTGGCTCCCTGGAGGTATCATTTGAGTTTTCCTGAAGGATGAGAAATTAGCAAGGCACATGTAGCAGCAGAATCCAGTGGAGGCAGGAGCACGGCAGGTTCAGGTCTTGTGAGCAGCTGGGGGACAAGTTACAGAGCTGACACTGGGGTTTTGGTGGGGGCCAGATCACACAGGACACTGATTTCAAGCGAGGATGCCTCAGCTCTATCTTTTTTTTTTTGAGACGGAGTTTCGCTTTTGTTACCCAGGCTGGAGTGCAATGGCGCGATCTCGGCTCACCGCAACCTCCGCCTCCTTGGTTCAGGCAATTCTCCTGCCTCAGCCTCCTGAGTAGCTCGGATTAGAGGCATGTGCCACCATGCCCAGCTACTTTTTTGTATTTTTAGTAGAGATGGGGTTTCACCATATTGACCAGGATGGTCTCGATCTCTTGACCTCGTGATCCACCCTCCTCGGCCTCCCAAAGTGCTGGGATTACAGGCTTGAGCCACCGCGCCCGGCCAGCTCTATCTTGTAGACAGTGAAGAGTCACTTCAGAGCAGATACTGGGTCAGATTTGTGTTTCTAAATGGAGGATGTTGGGATACAAAAGTCTGGAGAGATTCAGTAAGGTACTGGAAGAACAAAATTATGAGAAAGGCGGCCGGGAACAGTGGCTCATGCCTGTAATCCCAGCACTTTGGGAGGCTGAGGTGGGCAGATCACCTGAGGTCGGGAGTTCAAGACCAGCCTGACCAATACTGTGAAACCCCATCTCTGTTAAAAATACAAAGTTAGCCAGGCGTGGTGGTGTGTGCCTGTAATCCCAGCTACTCGGTAAGCCGAGGCAGGAGAATCACTTGAATCCAGGAGGCAGAGGTTGCGGTGAGCCAAGATGGTGCCATTGCACCCCAGCCTAGGAAAAAAGAGAGAAATTCCACCTAAAAAAAAAAAAAAAAAAAAAAAAAGAGAGAGAGACACAGAGAGAGAGAAGGGCAGAGAGGATGGAGAGGAGGGGATGGATCCCCTAGATAGGAAACAGAATTGATGGTGCTGGGATGCAGATTAGATGTGGGAAAGGGGAGGGGGGAAGGAGGCAGTGTGCTCAGGATGCCAGATGGGGTCCGGGGAGACAACCCTGGAAGATGGGTGTGACAGGAAATGTTGGTTCCACAGATGGGGAAACCAGGCCTCCAAGAAGTGAAACACACAGGACATGGGTGGGGGCTAAGTACCACATAGTGTCACTGGGTACACAGGAGGGCTTCTGAGCCCATGGGCCCCCAACACCACCCTCCTTGCTCCTGTGGGGAGGCTGCCAGGTTTAGAATCTGCACTTAGACCAGCTCCAAAACTGAGCTGCTGTTATCAGAATCTCCTTCCATCATAACAGGACTTACTCACCTCTAAGGCCCTGGCTTTCTCATCTGTAAAGTGGGGAGGTTGAGAAGTACTGGAAGCCAAGGTCTGTTCATAAGTCTTGGAATCTTGCCAGACTTGGGGTTCCTCTGGCTGTCATCCCCAAGTCTTCCTTGCTGGTGTTCTAGGGCTTAGCACAGGGATCCCCCTCACCTCGTCTTCACTCAGTCTCTGGAACAGTACTTCTCAAACTTTAGTATGCACAGAAATCACATGTAGATCTTGTTATAACATAGATTCCTATTAATCAGGTTTGGAGGCAGGGCTGAGACTTGGCACTTCTACCCAGCTCCCAGATGATGCTGATACTGCTGGTCTGTGGACCACACTCTGAGAAGCTCAGTCTCTTGGCTTTGCAAACTTTCTCCAGGCTAATGACTCCCAAATTTACATTTCCAGTCCAGATCTCTCCAGCTGCTGCTGCTTTTTTTCATTTGTTTTTTTGAGATGGAGTTTCGCTCTTGTTGCCAGGGCTGGAATGCAATGGTGTGATCTCGGTTCACTGCAACCTCTGCCTCCTGGGTTCAAGCAATTCTCCTGCCTCAGCCTCTTGAGTAGCTGGGATTACAGGCATGCATTGCCATGCCCGGCTAATTTTGTATTTTTAGTAGTGACGGTGTTTCTCCATGTTGGTCTCCACGTTGGTCAGGCTGGTCTTGAACTCCCAATCTCAGGTGATCTGCCCACCTCAGCCTCCCAAACTGTTGGGATTACAGGCATGAGCCACCACGCCCGGTCTAGAACTCCAATTTCTAATTACAACTCTTATTTGACATCTCCATTTGGATATTTAAAAGTTACCTTCCACAGAGCTTCCAAAGTAGCTCTTTCCTCAAAACTACTCCTCTCCAATGCTTCCCCCAAAACTCATTCCCCCAAAATCTAGATGTCTTTGAATCTCCTGTTTCACTTATCCTCTGCAAGCAAACTGCCAGCAAGTGCTATCTACTTTACCTCCAAAGCATAGCCTGACCCTGTCCACTCCATGGAGTAGAGATGACCCCCGTTCCACCACCCTAGTCCAAGCCACATCTCTTGCCTGTGCTGCTATAGTAGCCACCAACCTGGTCATCCTGCTTCCCTCCTGCCTCCCCTCCCTGCCCAAATTCTCTACAGAGCAGTCAGAGAAATCTAATTTTTTGAGACAGTCTCGTTCTATCACCCGGGCTGAAGTGCAGTGGCATAATCACCACTCAGAGGCAACCTCTGGCTCCTAGGTTCAAGCAATTCTCATGCCTCAGCCTTGTGAGTTGCCAGGACTACAGTTGTGCGCCACCACACCCAGCTAATTTTTGCATTTTTAGTAGAGACAGAGTTTCACTATGTTGGCCAGGCTGGTCTCGAACTCCTGACCTCAAGTGATCTGCCTGCTTTGGCCTCCCAGAGTGCTGGGATTAATTAAACTCTTTTAGGAGCTTGCACCTCACTTAGAAGTAAATAGACGTCTAATCTCGGCCTACAATGCCTAGCACAACTGGCCTCTGCTTCCTTTCCAGCTGCGTCTTGGGCAAACCCCTGGCTCTGGGGTCACAGCTATATCAACCTCTCATCCCTGAGCTCACCCAGCCCGTTTCCCCCTCACAGCCTTTGTCCTGACTGCCCTCTGCCTCCTGGTCTTGGCTGACCCCTTCTCACCATTCAGATCTCAGCTTCTGGGTTACCTTCCCAGAAAGGCCTTCCCTGACCACCCAAGCTCTCACCCCAGTTTAATTCTGCACGTGTTTTATCAGTAGCTGACCTTGGCCTGTTAAGTGTCCATCTCCCCTACTGGGAGGTAAGACCCATGGAAACAATGAGCTTGTTCTTTACCTGATTCAATCAGCAGCCAGAACAGGGCCAGAATGGGTGCTTAGAAAATACTGCATGAGCAAATGTCATTCCCCAATTTGAGCCAGTTTCCTCATCTATAAAACAGGAATAACAGAGCATCTACCTCATAGGGATAAGATTAAACGAGATATTCATGTGAGCCCCAGGCACAGGGCCTGGCACTTGGTCACCTATGGTTAATAATACTGTTATCAATACCATAATGGAATCCCCTGGCAGGAACGCGTGGGCAGGGCCAGCGGGATTCCCACACACTCCCCAGATGACCTGGTTCCAAGCAGCTGGGCTAATTGGCCCTGGCCCATTTTCTGTCACTGCCAACGTCCTCGAGATCTGATAGCAGAGAGAGGGTAAATTCAGGGATGAAGAGTGGAGGAGAGCATGCTTCAACTCAAAAGTTTATTAGAAAGGCCATGGACAGATGAACCCTGAGTAACCAGCTGAGGAAGAAATGAAGAAAGTCCCGCCCCTCATGGCCCGCCCGCTGGCATTCTGTGAACTCTGTCCCCTTGCCAACCCCGAAAGAAGTCAGCCAAAAAGTGCTTTCCACATCCTCTCTGGGGCTGCCCAGCGTGACCGCAGGGGGTCCACTGGCAGGGCCGAGGTGGATGCTGGTGCCTGAAGCTGGAAGCCAGCAGGGCGTGAGTCCCCTCCTGTAGCAGGAAGTAGTTCTAGAACCCCCAGCAGAACAGAACGGAAAAGGAGCTGACTGGGGATCGAATGAGTTCTGCTAAACAGCCAGAGGCTCTGAGAGAGGTGACACTGGACTGCCTTGGAGGTGTGTGCAGATGGCTACAGATGGCCAATCGTGGGGGTTCCCAGGATGGGATCCCAAAACTGCTTTAAAGAGTCTCAGAGAACCCCAGTGTGACTCAGTTCCCCTCCTGGGGCCGCACTGGCTGTTTCTGCTCCCAGAAAGGCAAATGGATCTTGTAAAAATCCATGGTGGTTGACGCAATTTTTTCCATAAAAAAAGAGTTTGTACAGTGAATCGCTTTCCACCAGCAGAGCCTGAGCCAAGAAGAGTCCGTCCTGGGGAAGGAGAAGGCACTTCTCACACCCTCACTGGGGGTGGTCTGGGCTGGCAGCTTCCCCGGCCCCTCGGGTTCCAGCTCCCTCTGGCCCTGTGACTCCAGCCTGCTCCCTCTGGGAAGCATGCTGCCTCCGTCAAGCTAGCACTGCCCTGTGGCCTGAATGCCTTGGTGCCTCACAGGGTGGTAGACGGCAACTTTCTCACTCGTCGCTGAGCCAGGATGGATGACTCGATGGGCTTCAGCTGTGGGGTGGGCTTGGAGCTGTTGAGTGCGGAGTATGTGGCTGCCATGGCTCCCTGAAAGAGAACAGGGTAGAGGCGGGGAGGTCAGTTCACAATGGCGGGAGATGCAGGGGGAGGGGATGCATGCCCCAAGGGTAGGCTAGCCCCTCTCAGTGTTCCACAGCCCACTGTTTTTGTTTTTGTTTTTGTTTTTTTGAGATGGAGTCTTGGCTCTGTTGCCAGGCTGGAGTACTATGGCACGATCTTGGCTCACTGCAAACTCCGCCTCCCAGGTTCAAGCGATTCTCCTCCCTCTGCCTCCCAAGTAGCTGGGATTACAGGTGTCCACCACCATGCCCAGCTAATTTTTGTATTTTTAGTAGAGACTGGGTTTCACCATGTTGACCAGGCTGGTCTCGAACTCCTGACTTCAAGTGATCCGCCTACCTTGGCCTCCCAAAGTGCTGGGATTATAGGCGTGAGCCACCGCACCTGGTCCCATAGCCCACTGTTAATCTAGCCTCAGTCGTCCTTTATGATCATGAGTCCTGCCTCCCCCATCAGACGGGAGGGTTCAGAGGTCAGCAGCTGTGTCTTCCAGAGGACTGGGGGCTGTGAGTGTACCGTGACACTGTGGCAGTTAGGCTCCCTTACGGCAGGGCTGTATCTTCCTCTCCTGTTTCACCTCATGGCATTTCCTGGCTCTGCCACAAGTCCCTGATCATACCACCTTGGGCTGACCTCCCAGATGCCCAGCAGCCCAAGGGTGGCCATACCTTCACAAGCTGCAGGTCTTGGTGGGACAGCTGGCTTTGGGGAAGCTTGTCTTTCTGGGTGACCCACGGATGCTGCAGAACCTGCTTGGCTGTGAGGCGCTGGTGGGGATCTACGTGTAGCATCTTGGACACCAGGTCCTGGGGACACAGTGGGCAAGGGGTTGGTGGGAGGGCTGCAGGGGAGCAGGCCCCTGATGGGGCACAGGAAGGCAACCATCTCCTGCAAGCTCCTGCCTGAACCCTTGCAGCAGCCCCTGTGATCCACTCTCCACCCTGCTCAGTGCTCCCGCACACAGCCAAGGGTCCTGTCTCCAGGCCTTTGCTGCTCTTGGCCCTTGGTCCTGGAACACCCTTCCATTTCTCCTTTACCTCCAAAAAGCCATGTGGGAAGGTAGGAAAATCCTCAGGTTTGGGCTTTGACAGACTGAGGTTCAAAACTTGCCTTTTGTACTCATCAATTGAGTGCCCTGGGCAAGTTGCTTCAACTCTCTGAGCCTCAGTTTCCCTGCTGAGTATCAGGAATAACCACACCTGCCTCACAGGTTGATGCCGCACAGAGAGGGCTCAATTCTCTCTGGAATACAGATTCCAATAACCAAAAACTGTTGCTAATACTGGAAGCTCACATGCCACCCCCTTGGAGGAGGCTCTGCTTAGTATGGCCAGTTACTCTGCTCTGTGTCTCCATGGTCCACACCTCTGGCCAAGATGGTCTACCTATCTGGGCCACCAGGCACTGCTGTTCCTTGTATGCCAACCTGTATCCCTCACTACACTGTTTCCACAAGGCCAGAGGCCAGGACTGTGGTTATGCAGCCCTCTGTGCTCTACAGGGCCCAGAATGAGAAGGGCCAGTGAATGATCACCAAGTTACCCTAACACGGTACGGGGGTCGTCGGGGTGGTCTGCCTGAGAATCTTCCACTTGGAGAAATACAGCAACAGGGATTTGTAGAACATCTACTTGGAGAAATGAGGCTGTTCACGAACAGCTGAAAAGCCCTGGGACGGGACCCTGCCTCCCTCCTCCAAATGAGGCCATGCAGGCCTTACAGACTCACCTTGGCTGTCTCTGAAACTGTGTTCCAGTTTCCTCCACTGAGGGTAAACTTCCCACTGCCGATCCGGGTTAGGATTTCCTCTGGTGTGTCACTAGGCCCGTTGGCAAATGGAGTGTATCTGCAGAAAAGCCCGCATGGTCTGGGTACAAACTCTGGCCTCTATCCTGGGGCTGGGCTGTGGTGGGAGACTCTGTCTCCCCACAGAAGGGGTGCTCCCAAGGCAGAGCTCCCAGAGGCAGGACCATGTCTCTGTTTCCAGACTATCCTGAGGCAGGGCTGGCTGAGCCTTTCCTATCAGAGAAGCACCACCCAGCCCAAATGCTAGGGCTGCAGGAGTGGGGAAGGGTCCAGGCAAAAGGGCACTCACCCCGCCAGCATGGTGTACAGCAGAATTCCCAGGCTCCAGATGTCACAACCTTCATCGTAGCCCTGGCGCTTCAGCACCTGGCAACAGGGCAGGGCAGGTGGTCAGCCTGGGGGCAGTAGAAAGTTGCCACAGATGCTCCTGCTACTGCAGGAGACAAGGTAGGACAAGGGTCCAAGCCACAAGCTAGATCTTCCCTTGCCAGCTGGGCCAAGGTCACAGAGACTGTAGCCCTGGCCAATGTGGGGCCTCTGGGAGGGGGCACAAGGCCTCCAGTTCCCCCTCTCTTATAGCTGAGGAGGCTGGGCCACTCACCTCGGGCGCCACGAAGTTGGCTGTGTAGCAAGGTGTCATGAGGAGCCCATTCTCAGCCCGCAGCTGTTTGGCAAAACCAAAGTCACAGATGCGCAGGCACTCAGGATTCCCGGACTCGTCCACGTACAGGATGTTGCTGGGCTTCAGGTCCCTGTGCACAACCTAGGGGCAGGGGGCTGGGGTCAGTTCTCAGTGCGGGGAGGTGGCTAGTGGCCCAGGTCAGCTGCCAGGGATGAGAAAGTTACACAGACAGGGCATGGAGAGATGGGTACACAGACCTGGAATCCAAGAGAAGGGGAAAGGGCTGAAATGAGGGCCTTACTGCTGCTGCTACTGCCCACCTGAACTCTGTGTAGGTGTCCACAGGTAGCTCTAAGTCAGCCGGTCCACAACTGAATTCCCAATTCTCCCCTAAAACTACTCATCACATAATCTTACCTCGTGGCAACTCCATCCTTCCTGTTACTTAGGTCAAAATCTAAAAAGTGTCATTCTTTTTTTTTTTTTTTTTTTTTTTGGAGATAAGTCTCCCTCTGTCGCCAAGGCTGTCTCGGCTTTCTGCAGCCTCTGCCTCAGCCTCCAGAGTAGCTGGGATTACAGGCACTCCCCATGATGCCTGGATAATTTTTTGTATTTTTAGTAGAGACAAGGTTTCTGACATTTTGACATTTTGGGCTGGATGATTTAAAAAAAAAAAAAAGAGACGGGGTTTTACCATGTTGGCCAGTCTGGTTCCAAACTCCTGACCTCAAGGGATCCACCCGCCTTGGCCTCCCAAAGTGTTGGGATTACAGGCATAAGCCACTGATTTTCCTAATCTTTAGAATCTATGAATACACTGCTTTACGTTTATCTGTAGCATTTGCCATCACTTAACATAATATTCAATTTGTTTTCGGAGTCTGCCCACTGGAATGTAAGCTCCATGAGTGTTTTGCTCACTGCTGTATCCCAGCACTTAAACTAGCTCCTAGTACATGACAGGTATTTAATAAACACCTATTGAATGAATGAATGAATGACACTTACTGCTGAGGCCATAAGCAAATGGCTTTCCTCTGGGCCCTGACTGCTCATCTCTAACTTGAGGGGGCTGAACCACTCCACATTTCATTCTTACTCTTCTCACACTCTGTAAGGTTTTTTTTTTTTTTTTTTTTTTTTTTTTTTGAGACAGGGTCTCTGTTGCCCAGGCTGGAGTACAGTAGCATGATCATGGCTCACTGCACCCACAACCTCCGACTCAAGTGATCCTCCCACCTCAACCTCCCGAGTAGCTGGGACTAGAGGTGTGTGTCACCACACCTAGCTAATTTTTAAAACTTTTTTTTTTTTTTTAAAGACAGGGTCTCGCTATGTTGCCCAGGCTGGTCTTGAACTCCTGGGCTTAAGTGACCCTCCTGTCCGGGCCTCCCAAAATGCTGGGATTATAGGTGTGAGTCACTGTGCCTGGCCTGTACAGTTCTTTTCATAATCAATCCTCTAACTATCAATTACCAATACCTCTCAGATCTCTAACCCTAGTCCAGAACTTTCCTGAGTCTTGGCTCATAAATCCAGTTGCCTACCACATGGCAACCATGGGATGTTCCACAGAGCCTCAAACTCAACACATCCTACACTAAACTCCTCATGTCCTCATCCTGTTCCTTCTCCCCTGAGCTAATGGAACCTCCCTGGGCATTGTCAAAAATCCTTCAAAGGCTCCCTATCTGCAAGACAAAGCCCCAGCCAAAGTCCCTAGCCTAACATGGGAGGCACAGCCATCACCTGTTCCAGCCTCATTGTCCATTGCATCCCCTCAGGTGCCCAGAGCTCAGGGATCAGAGCCCAGGGGCTCCTTTTGTAACAACCATAACCCTACATCTGTGCAATGCCCATACCCAGTGCAGGGCCTAGCACAGAGCAAATGCAAAGTGAACTTTGTGCAATGAATGAACAAATCACACCTCTGAAACACAGAGACACCTTGCAGGTTAGATTAGTAGAGTTCAAGTTTGTTTTTTTTGTTTTTTCTTTTTTTTGAGATGGCGTCTTGCTCTGACCCACCAGGTTGGAGTGCAGTGGCACAATCTTGGCTCACTGCAACCTCCAACTCCTGGGTTCAAGTGAGTCTCCTGCCTCAGCCTCCTGAGGGATTACATGCGTGCACTACCATTCCTGGCTAATTTTTTTTTGTATTTTTAGTAGAGACTGGGTTTTCACCATGCTAGCCAGGCTGGTCTCGCACTCCTGACCTCAAGTTATCTACCCACCTTGGCCTCCCAAAGTGATGGAATTATAGGCATGAGCCACTGCACCTGGCCACAGTTAGTTGGTTTTATTCAGATAGTCCTTTCACAGTCTCAGTTGATCCCCAAGCCCTCCAGCAGTGCCCGTGGTGCCTGTGAAGAGGGTAGGCATGGCCCAGCACAGTCCACCTTCACAGGGAGAGAAGTGCCAGGCAGTTAAGGGCGAAAGGGCCACACTGTTAGGGCGGCCCCAGCAGCGAACTGTATCCAAGTCTCAGAGAAGGTCCCTTGGGCTCTCTCCTTCAAACACAATCATATAGCCCACAGCACAAGGCCAGGTCCCCAGGAATGTGGACTCTTCCCCACCGAGGGCCCAGCCAAGCTTTGTAGAGGTCAGGAATGCTCAGCTTGGCTGAGGACACCAACTACCCCGTACAAGAGAACTCTGGCCTTCAGCCTGGAAAGCTGTCAGCCCCTGAGGCTTTCACCTCGATAGGCTGCTGGCCTTTAAAAAAAAACAAACAAAAAGAAGAGAACTCCCAGTTTACAAAGAACGCTCCCAGTCACGATCTCACTGGAGCCACCCACCACACCTCCGCAGGTGGACAGGGATTATTAGCTCCGTTTTACAGAAGAGAAAACCAAGGCTCTGAGAGGACAATTTTCTTTTCTCTTTTGAGACAAACTTGCCAGTGGCACAATCTCGGCTCACTGCAACTTCCATCCCGGGTTCAAGCAATTTTCATGTCTCAGCTTCCCAAGTAGCTGGAATTACAGGTGTGTACCACCACGCCTAGCTAATTTTTGTATTATAGAGACAGGGTTTCACCATGTTGGCTAGGCTGGTTTCAAACTCTGGCCTCCAGTGATCTGCCCACCTTGGCCTCCCAAAGTGCTGGGATCACAGGTGTGAGCCACTGCACCTGGCCTGAGAGGACAATTGACTTGCATGTAAGTCAGAGGCAGAGGCAAGACCAGGACCCAGTTCTGAACTTAATTCCACAGTCTTTCCTGTTTAGCATAGCACACATGACACTCCTGGGACACAGGGATATAGAAGTTGTTGATCTTTTTTCCTATCCTACTACAACATACAGAAATGACAAACCCCTGCAGGAAACTGTCTCACCACTGCCCAGTATCAGAATAGTAGGGATGGTGAGTTGGGGAGGAGAAGCACAGCTTGAAAAAGCCCCACAGGTGATTCTGATACCTGACCCTCAGGTGTGTATGTAGGGGGAGGAAAAGTATAGTCTCATATCTCACTGCATGGAAAATCACAATGGGCTGGGCAAGTAACCAGTGAAGCCAGGCAGAGTGGGAAACTCTAATCCATCTAAAGAGGGCATCGGCTACCTGGCTCCAGCTGACAGTCGCTATGTAGCAACTCAGACCCAGTTTTCTAAAAAGCAGCCAAATTACCAAACCTTACGAAACTACACCTCAAATCAAAAAAACACCCCTTATCAGTGGCCAGGTGCAGTGGCTCACACCTGTAATCCCAGAACTTTGGGAAGCTGAGGTGGGCGGATCACAAGGTCAGGAGTTTGAGACCAGCTTGGCCAACATGGTGAAACTCCGTCTCTACTAAAAATACAAAAATTGGGCCGGGCGCGGTGGCTCAAGCCTGTAATTCCAGCACTTTGGGAGGCCGAGGCGGGTGGATCACGAGCTTGAGAGATCGAGACCATCCTGGTCAACATGGTGAAACCCCGTCTCTACTAAAAATACAAAAAATTAGCTGGGCATGGTGGTGCGTGCCTGTAATCCCAGCTACTCAGGAGGCTGAGGCAGGAGAATTGTTTGAACCCAGGAGGCGGAGGTTGCGGTGAGCCGAGATCGTGCCATTGCACTCCAGCCTGGGTAACAAGAGCGAAACTCCGTCTCAAAAAAAAAAAAAAATAAATAGGCTGGGCGCGGTGCTCAAGCCTGTAATCCCAGCACTTTGGGAGGCCGAGGTGGGTGGATCACGAGGTCAAGAGATCGAGACCAGCCTGGTCAACATGGTGAAACCCCGTCTCTACTAAAAATACAAAAAATTAGCTGGACATGGTGGTGCATGCCTGTAATCCCAGCTACTCAGGAGGCTGAGGCAGGAGAATTGCCTGAACCCAGGAGGCGGAGGTTGCGGTGAGCCGAGATCGCGCCATTGCACTCCAGCCTGGGTAACAAGAGTGAAACTCCGCCTCAAAAAAAAAAAAAGAAAAAAGAAAAAAAAAAAAAGAAATAAATAAAATAAAAATACAAAAATTAGCTGGGTGTGACGGTGCATGCCTGTAATCCCAGCTACTGGGGAGGCTGAGGCAGGAAAACGGCTTGAACCCAGGAGGTGGAGGTTGCAGTAAGCTGAGATCCTGCCACTGCACTCCTGCCTGGGTGACAGAGCAAGACTCCATCTCAAAACAAACAGACAAAAAAACCAACAAAAACACACCCCTTATCTTGCAGGCCAAACAAAATATATGTGTAGGCCAAATGCAGGCACTGAGGCAATAGGCCGTGACCTCCAGAAGAGTTAGGATTCCTGTCACAGGAAGGAGTCGGGCAGGCCAGGGTGTGAAGCCCGGCTTTACCATCCACTCATAGCTGTGTGGTCTTGGGCATGCCAATTAACCTCTCTAGCCCTCAGTTTCCTCATTTATAAAATAGGGCTGATAACAGCATTCAACCCTAGGCTTACAGGGAAGAACAGGAATATTTAGCACAGGGCTTGGGAGATGACAGATGTCACAGTAACCCCAGAACTGCCTGGGACTGAACCCCTCTGTCATGCTGGATGTTAAGATACAGTGACTGCTTATGAAGAAGCACTTAAAAAGTAGAGACCAAAGACGGCTGTCCAAAGCAGCATCGTACCACATGCATGCGTTCAGAGCACAGGCTTGGCCAGGCACAGTGGCTCACACCTGTAATCCCAGCACTCTGGGAGGC